CTTTGTCGTCCCCCTTCCGTTCCTCCCCCTTGGCCGTCCCCCTCCGTTCCTCCTCCTTGCCGTCCCCCTCCGTTCCCCCCCCCTCGTCGTCCCCTCCGCCGCCCCCTCTGTCGTCCCCCTCCGACCTCCCCCCTTGCCGTCCCCCCTCCGTTCCTCCCCTTTGTCGTCCCTCTCCGCTCCTCCCCCTTTGCTGTCCCCCTCCGTTCCTCCCCCTTTGCTGTCCCCCTCTGTTCCTCCGCCTTTGCTGTCCCCCCTGCGTTCCTCCCCCTTTGTCGTCCCACCTCCGTTCCTCCCCCTTTGTCGTCCCCCCTCCGTTCGCCCCCTTGGCCGTCACCCCTCCTTTCCTTCCCCTTTGTCGTGCCCCCTCCGTTCCCCCCCCCTTGTCGTCCCCTCTCCGCTCCTCCCCCTTTGTCGTCCCCACTCCGCCCCTCCCCTCAGTCGTCCCCCTCCATCCTCCCCGTTTGTCGTCCCCCTCCGTTCCCCCCTCGTCGTCCACCCTCCGCCCTCCCCTTTGTCGTCCCCCTCCGACCCTCCCCCTTTGCCGTCCCCCCTCCGTTCCTCCCCCTTTGTCGTCCCCCTCCGTTCCTCCCTCTTTGCCGTCCCCCCTCTGTTCCTCCCCTTTGTCGTCCCCCTCCGTTCCCCGCCCTTTGCGTCCCCCTCCGTTCCTCCTCGCTTTGTCGTCCTCCCTCCGTTCCCCCTTTGCCGTCCCCCTCCGTTCCTCCCCCTTTGTCGTCCCCCTCCGTTCCTCCCTCTTTGCCGTCCCCCCTCCGTTCCTCCCCCTTTGTCGTCCCCCCTCCGTTCCCCCCCTTTGCCGTCCCCCCTCCGTTCCTCCTCCTTTGTCGTCCCCCTCCGTTTCCCCCTTTTCTCATCCCCACTCCGCCCTCCCCCTTAGTCGTCCCCCTCCGTTCCTCCCCCTTTGCTGTCCCCCTCCGTCTCCCCCTTGGCCGTCCCCCCCTCGTTCCTCCCTCTTGCTGTTCCCCTCCGTTCCTCCCCCTTTATCGTCCCCTCTCCGTTCTCCCCTTTCTTGTCCCCCCTCCGCCCCTCCCCTTTGTCATCCCCCTCCGTTCCTCCCCCTTTGCCGTCCCCCTCCGTTCCTCCCCCTTTTCGTCCCCCTCCGTTCCTCCCCCTTTGCGTCCCCCCTCCGTTCCTCCCCCTTTGTCGTCCCCCTCCGTTCCTCCCCCTTTGCCGTCCCCCCTCCGTTCCTCCTCCTTTGTCGTCCTCCCTCCGTTCCCCCCTTTCTCATCCCCCTCCGCCCCTCCCACTTAGTCGTCCCCCTCCGTTCCTCCCCCTTTGCTGTCCCCCCTCCGTTCCTCCCCCTTGCCGTCCCCCCTCGTTCCTCCCCCTTTGCTGTCCCCCTCCGTTCCTCCCCCTTTGCTGTCCCCCTCCGTTCTCTCCCCTTTGCTGTCCCCCTCCGTTCCTCCCCTTTGCTGTCCCCCTCCGTTCCTCCCCCTTTGCTGTCCCCCCTCCGTTCCTCCCCCTTTGCTGTCCCCCTCCGTTCCTCCCCCTTTGCTGTCCCCCTCCGTTCCTCCCCCTTTGCTGTCCCCCTCCGTTCCTCCCCTTTGCTGTCCCCCTCCGTTCTCCCCCTTTGCTGTCCCCCTCCGTTCCTCCCCCTTTGCTGTCCCCCACCGTTCCTCCCCCTTTGCTGTCCCCCTCCGTTCCTCCCCCTTTGCTGTCCCCCTCCGTTCCTCCCCTTTGCTGTCCCCCTCCGTTCCTCCCCCTTTGCTGTCCCCCTCCGTTCCTCCCCCTTTGCTGTCCCCCTCCGTTCCTCCCCCTTTGCTGTCCCCCTCCGTTCCTCCCCTTTGCTGTCCCCCTCCGTTCCTCCCCCTTTGCTGTCCCCCCCGTTCCTCCCCCTTTGCTGTCCCCCCATGTTCCTCCCCTTTGCTGTCCCCCCTCCGTTCCTCCCCCTTTGCTGTCCCCCCTCCGTTCCTCCCCTTTGCTGTCCCCCATCCGTTTCTCCCCCTTTGCTGTCCTCCTCCGTTCGTCCCCTTTGCTGTCCCCCCTCCGTTCCTCCCCCTTTGCTGTCCCCCTCCGTTCCTCCCCCTTTGCTGCCCCCTCCGTTCCTCCCCTTTGCTGTCCCCCCTGTTCCTCCCCCTTTGCTGTCCCCCATCCGTTCTCCCCCTTTGCTGTCCCCCCTCCGTTCCTCCCCTTTGCTGTCCCCCATCCGTTTCTCCCCCTTTGCTGCCCCCCTCCGTTCCTCCCCTTTGCTGTCCCCCCTCCGTTCCTCCCCTTTGCTGTCCCCCTCCGTTCCTCCCCCTTTGCTGTCCCCCATCCGTCTCCCCCCCTTTGCTGTCCCCCTCCGTTCCTCGCCCTTTGCTGTCCCCCCTCCGTTCCTCCCCCTTTGCTGTCCCCCTCCGTTCCTCCCCTTTGCTGTCCCCCTCCGTTCCTCCCCCTTTGCTGTCCCCCCTCCGTTCCTCCCCCTTTGCTGTCCCCCTCCGTTCCTCCCCCTTTGCTGTCCCCCCTCCGTTCTCGCCCTTTGCTGTCCCCCTCGTTCCTCCCCCTT